CTTGCTAAATTCAGAAACATCTGTTGTTGCATCATTTTCATCATTTCAATCATGCTTCCAGTAGTATCTGTAATCTGGCCTGGGGGAGAATTTGAGGGTGTTTGTAATGGTCTTGATCTCTTGCTCTTAGRGGGTACAGTGAKCTGGTCACTGTATTTTTCCCAATCTGGCTCTTCATTTGACCCTCCTAGTTGGCCCTCAATAATCTTGTCAGTCCACAGTTTTAGATGCTGTGTGCCRTATCTCCAGAGTGTGCCTCGTTTTTCAAGATCAGCTACTAAACTCACATGGGTTTCATTCCAAATTTCATTGTCTTCTTTACTAGAAAACTCCAATTTTCTCTTTCTTTTAGATGTCAGTGAATCTTCAGTATCTATAATCAAATAAACATTAATTTAGTGAAAATGATACTTATTTTATCCTTTTGAACCTGTGTATATACTGTGAAAATCAAGTCAATAAATTGTTCTTCAATAGCAAATAATAAAATTATGAATATTCTTTATTTGTGAATGCATTTTCACAAAATGTCTAATTCCTGCAAGTTTATTGTGTTCATTTTATGTCACAAAAACTCCATACCATTCATATGCACCACATAACAGGCCAATCTTAGTTGCTTGCATGCATACTCCTCTTTGCACTTTTCAAGGTCATCGTCTTGTTTCAAGCTCACCAGCTGTTTTGTACCTTTTCTCAAATAGTAAARGCCTTTTGAAGGGGTGTAGATCTTATCTTGATTCTCATGTGTTTTTAGTATGGTGACTAAATCTTGGTAGGTAGTGTCACATTTTACTTTATGTACTATCTCTGCTTCAGCTGAAACCTTCATGTCTTTATTTATTTCATGTAGAAATATATCCATGGTACTTCGAGCAAGAACCCTTGGAGAACRACGTGGTGTAGGTTGGGMTAAATAGTGAAATAGAATGAGAAATAAAATTTATGCAGTGYATACAAATACAGGGGTGAATCTAGGATTCTATACAAAGGGGTAAAAGAATAGTGAAGCAAGTAGTAGTAAACTAAAAATAAATGGGATTTATTACTTGCTAACTTTTGTAGAAACAAACCTTTTTTTAAGTCAACAGCTAGGTACATTGTAGAGTTCTTCTTTTTACCATTACGGTAACAGAACGGATATTCTTGAATCAAGGCAGGGATGTGGCTGTCRTTACTTATCTTTACAACAGCTTTGCCCTTCGACTTCTTGTAATACAACTGTTCTATGTTTACAGGTGCATCATTCGTGGTTGTTCTGCTGATATAATCCTTGACACAAGCTAGCAATGTATCGTAAGTCCATCTTCTGGGCAGTACAAATGGGGTACACTCGGCACCGTCAACGCGACCATTTTTTGTAGAAAGATAAAGTGCAACTTCACGCTGAAAGGAATTTAGAACGATTCTCACTTATCCTACCACTTCGAGAGGCTAAATCGACGTGCATAAAATTTGAATAGATTTCATTTAGTTTTCCTTTGTTCTATGTGTTAGGGGACTAAGTAACTTCCAAATAAGAAGATGAGCAAAAGATAAACAAAAGAATTGTGCAAAAACGTGAGTTTTTTGGAGAATCGAGAGATATGAAACTGTCTACATCGGTCACTACGAGAAAACACCGCGTGGGTTTTCACAAAGAAATATTTGCTCTAGAAACTTACTTGTTCGTCTTCTTTGTCAATGATCTGTGTCTCTTCCCAATCTGGAAGGTTGGGTGCTGGTATGACCTCTTCGCTTTCCATTGTGCAGGTATCAATATCGAAAGCAAAATCGTGAAGAAATTTTTGAAAGGACGACATTTCGCACATTTAGTGGAAACGACTGAAAMGAAGCTAGATAAAGCGCGCCAAAATTATGCAAGAACGTGTTGATTACTATGGAAACGAAATGATTGACGTCCATCAAAACCTTGTTTTGCTTTTGAAAGGTTTTACTAAAACGCGCGTGTACCTGAAAACGAGTGTAAACTAAAGTTTTCTACAATCGGAACGAAAATTTGTTGGAATTTTCGACGATGAAATCGCTCACGAAGTTTTGCTTAATTTTACGTTTTCAATGGGAAACTGGTGTCACGGTGTACGGATTTCGCTTATATCTTCTCCCGAATTCAAAAATTGAAAAATGTAACACCCGGCTTTTTTAGTTAAATGTCCAAAGTCTGTATGTGCAAAGTTTTGTTTAAATGCATAAAGAATTTCGACAATGAAATTTGACAAAATTTAAAATGTGGAAATCGTATGCAAATAAGTAAATTTTCAAGTTAATGAGCAGTTTGATGGCTTTTGAAATTTGCCGCCACAAGATTAAACTCCGCCTCCAAATGATTTCACATTAATGATTCATAAACGGTAAAAACAAGGACAAGACTATTCTACCGTGCTAGTTATCATAGGCAAACTCTAATAATGGTAGACTCAAACTGTCAAGTCACTAACTGAAAAGCCCCCAAATAAGTCGAATTTGGATAACAACTCAAACTGTAAAGTCAAGAAAGCGTCCTTAAATAAACCGCTTCATGTCTTAATAATAATGACTGAGCTACGGACTTCATTTCGAACTGTTTGAGCAAAGATTCAAAGCGCATAAGTCGAATTTTGATTATAACTTAAACTGAAAAGTCAAGAAACCGTCCTTTAATAAACTGTCCAATAAGGCTAATTACGGACATCATTTTGTACTGTTTTAGCCAAGGGATTCAAAGCGTACTCAAACTGAAAAGTCAAGAAACAGGCTTGTCTGTTATTCTTTTGCTTTCTATGTTATCGAGTGGCGAGACGTTTCTGTTAATCGGTTTAACCGATTAATGGAAACGTCTCGCCGCTCGATAACATAGTAAGCAAAATAATAGAAGATAAGCCTCTGGAACCAGGGTACATTTATTTGAATTGTTTTAGCAAAGATTCAAAGTGTATAGTCGGATTTTGACTACAACTCAAACTGTAAAGTCAAGGCGTCCTTTAATAAAGTTCAGTTGAATAAGAACTACAACTCACGAGCTGCAAAGTAAGTGAACAAAGCTTTCTTTCATAACTTTCACAAGTCGAATAAAAACTGCAATAAGAATCTATGGCGTACTTGAGTTCACGAAATTTGTATGGGCTGCTTAACTAGGGATGATACAATAAATTCACAATTGTGTACCAGTTGCTATGTTCCATTGTTTTTCTTGTTTTTGTAATGCTTAGATGTAACTAGCACGGCAACCAATAGGAAATACAGCTATTGTTCCCGTTTGATCAACAAACAGCCGAACTCGTCTGATTAACAACCATAACCATTTCGACTTACTATCGTCACGATCTAGCTTTTTACTAAAACAATTTTTACAATTTTTACAATTGTCTTTTTGAGAGAAATGCAGCAGATTGATCGAGAGCTCTCTTCAGAGCTCATAGACCCTCGATCAACCCTGCTCATTTATTTATTATTCCTAATTTCGACCTTGACAACAAGAATTTTTATATAAAAATCAACGGTGAGGGTCTCTGGCAATTAAGAATAAAAACGATACAAAACTTATTTTTGAATCCCTCAAAGCGAATTTAGAAAGAGGGACGGGATACAGATTGGCTTCACATTCTGCTGATCGTATCGGAGCGATACTGAAGTGTTGTGTTAATCGATTGATTGCAAAAGATAAACCACTAAGGAACCGCAACCAAGCAAGAGAATATCGAAGCAGCCAATGGATCACTGTTGGAGTTAAACAAGTTTCCAAAAGACCTGCACGAGAAAAAGATAGAAGGTATGAACTCCCGCCTCGAAATAATTAAACTATTGTAAATGGATTATATAAGTGTCGAGTAGGCACAAGATTTTAATCTTTTTTTATTGTTTAGAGTTACACAAAGCAATGGTTTTTCTCGCCGACCAAGAACAACGGAAGAGAAAATCTTTTGTCGAAGTTGGAGAGCGTCAACAGCGAAGGTTAAGAAAGGAAATATTGTAAGTAATCAACATTAAAAAATTGCATTGTTAGTGTAATGACATTTTAAATGTTCAAAACGGAAAAGTTTTAATAAAGTTACATACTTTACGATTCGTATTTCATTTTTCGCTTGCTTTGCAGGGACAAGGCCTCTACTGCACTCAAGTTTGCTGAGCTGTACGGTCTAAACCCTAAAACAGTATTGTTGGAGGACCATCAAACTACGTCCACATTATAAGTTGATCTTTCTGATGATAACGGTATGCTGTTTTTTTCGCCTATTTTTTGAATGGGAATGTGTTATTCTAAGTATAAGGGGCAACAACTTTATGTTTTTCGAAAAAACTTCCAAAAGAGAAAGATTATATATTATATTCAAAAAGAAAGATTATATATTATATTCAAAATTATAGTTTGTTGTTAATAGTAACCATGACAACGACCGATCCCAACAATTCATGATAATTCGAGTTCTCTTAAAAATCAGCTTTCATTCAGCTAACGAAGAAATATATACATTTTTATGAATGAATATCTAATTAATTAATCTGTGAGGACATAAATCATGATTATTTTTCTCTGTTTTGACTTATTTTTCTATGTTTTTTATGACAAACTCAAAGTAGAGACCTTGCTATACATTATGGACAGATTTTCGATCTCCCTGAAGGGCTACCATGAAATAAGCCAGCTTGACACAGCTCTTCCAAGAACCTATCGAGGAATGTGCTAAAGAAATTAATGAGCACTATAACATACAAGGACACCTGGTATATGCCCTGGCGCTGAGGTTTCTTTTAAGTTTCTACTTGAGAAAGAAATTGCTAGATATGTAAGTAAAACTGTCTACCTTTAAAACAACTGACATACATGCTAACTTGGTTAATGAACAGTTACATAATGATAATTGTGATTATAAAACAAACATTTATTTTTCCTATGTTTGTATACAGCTTGAAACTGGTGGGACAAAGAAAAAGATCAAAGTGAAGCTGAGTGGGGATGGTGCAAAAATGCCCCATACCAGTAATCTGTGTGTCCTTGGTTTTTCTCTTCCAGAGATGGAAGGGCAAAATATTCTTTCAAGCGTCGGTAAGAATGAGTACTTATAATAAGATGCTAATTTCAAAAATTCTGGTTACTATTGTAATATTTTGATAGACTAATGGTGCATTATCTATTTCTTATCAGCAAACCATACAATTGCCCTGGAAATGGATAATGAGGACTATACCACCTTGAAGACATCACTTGCAAATGCCATCAAAGAAGAGAATGGCCTCATTGCGGAAGGAAAGATCAAGGTCAAAGACACAAAATTTGATCTTGAGTTTTTTCTTGGAGGCGACTATAAGGCATACTAGAGAAGAGAATGACCTTTTATGAATACTTACAATGTAATTTATTGCTTTATATTAAATACATGTGAAATTAATTATACATTATATCCTTTCATGTTTTAGTTCCTTTTGAATGTCATGGGTATTAAGGTTGCCACATCAGATAACAGCTGCATATGGTGTGAAATCAACAAGACAGAAAGGTAAATAAGGGCACTTAGAAACATCATAGTAAAAATATGTATGATATTAAGAAACAAGGTGATACTTCTAAAGACACTAGTAGCTTGACAAAGAATAACAATATACTTATCGTTAATTTGTTCTTAAACAAATTGCATCACTCTATGTAAACACAAGTATGTATAAATTTAAGAGAAGAGTATTGTAAAGTCAGTAAAAAGACACGACACGACCTGAACCGAACTGAATCGAAATTAAAAGCAGTAAAGTTTACTATTGAACCGAATCATCAACAGATTCTGAGAGCATAGAGCCTACGGTTGGACTTTTGATTATGTAGTCACAGTGGACGCTCCATGTCAGGTCATGGGAGATGTAAACAGCAAGAAATTTAAAAGATGTGATATGAGCAGCTACAGAAAACTTGACAAGGATTGGTATAAACAACCAGGCTGCGAGGACCAGCCCCTATTTAATATACAGCTGGACCACATATGAATAGATAAGCTTCATCTATTACTAAGGATAATGGATCGCCTGGAGGAAGGACTCATCAAAGATGTTATTGCTTGGGAGGTATTTTCAATTTTCCTATGACTAATGAGTTCATGACAGTATTCATCATGAATACCAATGACAGGCAATATAAGCAAGTAATTATCATTTGTTAATCATTTAGTAATTATCATTTGTTTATCATTTGTTAAATATAAATGTTTTCACTCTCAATAGGATGAGGGGACTACCAATGCCAACATGTTGAAGGGAAAACATCTTTCTGAATTATGCAAAACAATACATTCTATTGGTGTTTCCTTTGAACTCTGGATAAATAAAGCTAAGCTAATTATCGTCAAATATTAGTATCGTTAATGCAATCTAAACAATTTAAGTATTTGAGTGTTGTGCGTTATTTATTCAAATGTTTTTTTAAAGGAAATTGAATGGACTTGGAAGTGAGAAGCGAAAGCTGGACAAGCTGAACTCAGACAACACAGCAGAAGATGTGGACTTGTTTGAAAAGGAGGTTATTATTATTATTATTGTTATTATTATTATATTAATAATATTTAATAATAATATTATTATCCAATCTTTCTTGGCATTCTACAATAGCTGATGTATCTAAAACTTGGGTAGTTGAAAACATTGATTCTATAGTAAATGGTTTCATTCGAAAATGGCTTGATATTCCGATATGTGGTACTCTGAGTAACGTTTTTCTTGAGCGCAATAAATTTGGCCTAAGTATTTGTCCTCCTTTTGTCAAATTCATTCAGTGTCAAACAGTTCTCCGTAATTCCTTGAAAAATTCTTCTAATGACTCCATTCAAGATCTCTGGAAGTCGTCTGCCACACTAACATTCAATATGATGTATACAAATCCACAAAAGAAGATAAACTGCTACATCATCTAACATCTCAGGGTCTCTTCTTTGCGAATGTCACAAAGTTTTCGTTATCTTCTGTTAACTCTATTTGGTCATCTGTCCAGTCTAAGCTG